ATGATAGAGCCGATGGGGTAGGTTGGCTGCTCGTTGTATACCGATGGCCGTCGGCGCACTAATAGTAGGGTAACATAAGAGTAGATTAGTGAGCTGACAGACCAAATTGATGGAGTAGAATTTACCGGTCGAACCATTGGTTGTTGTAGTCGTAACGTAAGGACCAAGTACATCCAAACTGGCTACTTGAAATGGTCGATCAGGGATGACTATATCGTTGGAGGTGGGGTTCTTGGGTTGTCTATCGCCAGGGTCGGTCTTGACGAGAGCACAAGTGATGCAGCTTCTTGAGGCCTTCTTAGCTGCTTCATCGAAGTCGATAGTGGTTGACTTCGGATCGAAATAGCACTTGAGAATAGCAGTGATCTCAGGAGCACCAGTATGCTTGAGAGAATGACAGAACTCAGCACACTTATACAGAAAATCGCCGTCAGCCAGTTGACGTCTACCATCTTCACTTAGGGGTAGAGATCTATAGGTGGCCAACATGTTAGAAGGTAATTGAACAATGTCAAAATAGGGTGGTCGTTGTAGGGGTGGTAATGGATTGGTGGGAACTCGTAGTGGTGGTTCAAGTCGTGGTCTTTTGTCACCGATCTCGTTGGTGTCTTCGTCCTCGTCACCACGCTTACGTATAATTCTAGCAACATGAACAGTGTTCATATCTGAGGTATCATCGTCAGACAGAACTTCAAGACTTACACCGTCGATAGAATCACGATATTCAACCAAATCGCTGTAGAGGTCACACCTCGTGCCGGCATCAGCAGGATTCTCGGCAGAGGCCACATAGTGAATCTCAAACTGGCGTCTTCCCATAAGGTAATGAATAAGGTCGATAGTTCGTTGAAGTAGAGTAGATTGCTTACCAGAAGTAGAGACCTTACCAGAAGCTAGGGCAGCATTAGCTGTACGATTGTCGCCGTGGAGGATGATCTTCGAGAACTTCTTATTGGTATCGAGCTCGAAGGAGACAAGAGTAGAGAGAGCATTGTAGGCAGTAGTGAGTTCCTTCACGTTAATGTGCAAGGCTCGCTCTTGAGTGGACCATTTCCACTGCTTTT